AAAAATCATTTTGAAATGTTTTATATACGCGCGGATTGTATATTCAATTGTTTTGTAAAGCTCTCCTACTATGTAAGGTTGTCACGTATTTTTGAAGGCATACCTTACGTATATTTTAAATTCAAGTTAAAAATAAATTACAATTAAATTTATTTTTTTAACATAGGGAGGCATATAACACTATAACGGTATGCCTCATGTATATACATGTTTACTCTAAGTACCAGGTCATATTCGGACAGTTGAACTGGTCATGCAAATGCGCATATTTCATACATGTAAGTTATTTGTGACTTATTGTGGCAGGGAGGTTGTTATATTTCCGCCTCTTGCAAAACTGATGACCAAGAAGCAATGCAGTCAGCATTATTCAGCACAAAAGTACGGTCATTTCTAAATATGGGATATTTTATAGGTTTGGCCGGGGTTTCAGCTTACGAAACATGCGGAAATAGGTTAAACCGATCCGATTGGTCAAAAGTTGATTGCATGATTAATTAACCCCGATGACCTGCATAATTAACTGAACTTCATAAAATAGACCCGCGCACTCACAAAGCGCGCATTCTGGGTGATACTTTCTTAGATCACGTTAAGTCAAGTTTGCCAATTCAGCGTCAGGGCGGCTTTGATACTTTTGTTTGACTTATTCATTTAAGCTACGTACTTTTCTATTCGCAAGTTATAATTAATAAACGGAGAGCTATTTTGTTGATATACATTTATTTGTAATCGCGGAATAAGGGACTATTTAACCGAGAAATAAAAACTGTTTTTAAAAGTTTGATTTGTATTAGTATTCTATCAGAACTTGTGCTGCTTTAATAAATTCCACTAGACACAACGCGAAGTACTCAATTGTCGTGCTATAAGTAGCAGTGACTTGAAACTAATTGCAAAAAGTGATTTGAACGAAGAGATTTTTTATAACGAATACTGTAAATACCATTTATTATCAGAGACAGTTCTGGACTTAAAGTGATAACTTTACTTTAATTGGTCGAACTTTAAATTTAAATGTATCCTCAGAGAAATATAATAGAGATATCTGATTTCAAAGTTTCTATGATACACGATTTTATTTCAATAAATTTTAGTTTGTATCATAATTAATTTATTCAATATGATCCAACACAAGCATTGTTGCCTTTGCATGTATAGAATATAACCCCAATTTTAGCGCCAATTAAGCGTTACACACCTTTTAATATGTTTTTGTGTTTGATGTCATAAATATGAGTTGGGTTACGGTAATTAGAAATTAAACTGCGTTATTGAAGAACAGTTAAATCTTTTGATTATATATTATCTACATGACACCGGGGGATATCACTTTCAACTGACGTCAATCGCCACACAGGGAAATTGGTGGTTGGTGGTCATATCATAATGGGGGTGTGGGTATGTATAGTAACTAGACAAAATGCGTTGTAGTTTCCAGGTTCGACCTTTACTGATCAACAATCATATATAGAGTAAACAACAATACAATGTTAAGTCGGAAGTGACGTTAACGTAAGCGCGGAACGTCACGTTATACAAGGCGCTATAAATGACGTTATCAATTCCCGACATACTCGGGGCGCGAAATGTTAATTAAAGTTTAGTAATAAATCCATTATTCGAACACTACAGATGCTATAGTATCTCATATAAAGTATTATTAATTAAGAAACAGTCATAAATATATTGAATACAGTCTCTTATTCATGTATCACCTTTCCTTTGAAATTTTAGATTAATACATTTCGAGGGGGTAAAGTTTTACAATTGCGCGACTTGTGAGTCCATTTTGAGTTCGAATTTTAGCACTTCGAATAAGTCCATCTTTTCCTGGCACGAGTTCTTCAACCACAGCAAGTTTCCATAATAAGCGGGGAACATCGTCGTGGACTAATACAACGTCTCCAACGGATATCGTCTGGTCATTTTTGCCAGTTGTCTGATGACGTTCTCGTAAAACTGTCAGGTATTCGTGACGCCATCTATCCCGGAAGTGGTTAATTAACTTCGTTTGTATCGTATCCTGATTGATAACTGACGAACGGTCACTTGGCGTAGGGAAAGTACATGAAAGGACATCTTTATAAGGGAGTTTGGTTATTCGTCTGCCATAAAGTAAGTGTGATGGTGTAAGTACTTCCGGTTCATCTGAATTACCAGAACAAACATATGTCAACGGCCTATCGTTAATCATTGCCTCGATTTCTGTGATTACAGTCTGTAAAGTTTCGTAGGTTACATAGGACCGTCCTAGCACTTTCTTTATTGTTGTTTTCGTCAGACCTATGAGACGTTCCCACATTCCACCAAACCAAGGGGCGCGTTTAGGTATCATCTTCCACTCAATTCCTCTGTTGTTGAGTTCTTCTGTAACTGTGAGTGAGTGAAACAAATCTCTTAGTTGTTTTGAGGCTGATATGAAGGTGTTAGCGTTGTCTGACATCATGACGTAAGGGACAGATTTTCTGCTACAGAAACGTCGGAAAGCTTGTAGGAAATGATTCTGCCTGATAGGTTGAAAACAAGTTCTAGGTGAACTGCTCTCGTAGTAGCACATGTAAACAAGCATAAGTAAGCTTTTATGTCTTTTTGTTACTATCCCGAACCAGTAATGCTCCAGAGAAGTCTACTCCTGTATAAGTAAAGGGTTTGAACGTCAGAAACTCTACACTTTGGTAATGGAGGTGGGTCAGGTGCTGAATAGGGTTTCCCCAATAACCTTTACACAACATGTACATTTACGTAAATATGTTTTTTACAGTTTGACGAATCGAGGGAATCCAGTACTTCTGTCTTAAGAACGTAATAGTTTGAACTAACGCCGGCATGCAATAATCTTGAATGTGCGTCGTTGACAACTAACTTTGTAAATGGATGTTTAGCTGGTAGAAGGTACGGGAATTTGGTCAGCTCGTCTAATGGAGCATTGTGGATACGACCACGGCACTTTAATATGCCATTGTCTAAGAATAACTGAAGTTGTCTACATAATGGAAGTTTGTTTCTTTTTGATTTTGTATCTTCTATTTCTGCTTGATATTTGGACATCTGGCAACATTGTATGCACATCTCCTCAGCTCTGCGTAGTTCGTCTGTAGTTAAAAAGTCTGATCTTCCAGTATGACTCCCGCCTCGACACTTGAATATAAAATGCAGGACATAAGCTGTAACTCTGAGCAGCTTTCTTAAGGAACTGAATCTTGACATGTCTATGCAACTGATATTGCTTAATGGTAAAATTGTATCTTTTGGCTTGGTTGCTGGGTCAATAAACGTTGTCATGGTAACGTAAGTATCTTTTTCTTGCCAAACTGGCCAACTGTCAGGTGTGGTAAGCCATGTAGGTCCATGAAATCATAGATTACTGTTCTTGAAGTGAGTCACAGAGATTCCCCTCGTAAGTAAATCGGCAGGGTTTTCTTTCGTCGGACAATAATTCCATTTCCGGTTTTCGGACAGCGCGTGGATTTCAATCACGTCTGTTCCTTACAAATCGTGGAAGGGTTTTAGGCTTCTGAAGCCAAGAAAGCACAATCTGGCTATCTGACCAAAGGTATATCTGTGTTATGCTGGTGTTTTGCTGCAGGTTGTTTTTACTGAGTCGGGATCCAATTACTGCCGCCATTAGCTCTAACCTAGGTAATGTTAACTTCTTCAATGGAGCAACCCGAGTTTTAGCCATTACAAGAGTAGATTGGTTGTCTCTACAGATGTAAGCCGTAGCACCATACGATACCAAGCAAGCGTTGCAGAATATGTGAATGCACGTGTTTCTTGATGCGTTTAATGTATTTTCGAAGTAGTATCTAGGAAACGTAGTTTTTGTCACGGAATTCAAATCTGTTATTAAACAACGCCATTTTTCTTGAATACAGTCAGGTAATGGCATATCCCATTCAAACTTCTGTTGCCATAACTCCTGTAGAAGTAGTTTTGCCCTGATGGTAACTGGACTTAGTAAACCTAAGGGATCATAGATTCGAGAGATATGCTGCAATATTTCTTTCTTTCTTACAAAGTGGTTAAATGGTATGATTCCGACCGGATACAGTAAAACGTCACTATTTGTGTCCCATTTCATTCTAAGGAGTGTGGGCGTTATCTAATACTGAATCATTGATTGCCTGTTTTTGAAGCATTTTACTGTTTGAACTCCAGGACCTAAGGTTTAAAACCTGCAGATGACATTAGCTCACGAGATCGGTGTAGAAGTGTAAGAAGTTGTTCTTTCTTCCTGTTGAAAACTTGATATCACGTTATCAACGTATAGATCTTGACGTAGGTATTTGCTAGCTTTCTTGTCGTTGTTAAGTTCAAGGTGCTTAAGTATAGTTGCGCAGAGAATAAAAGGGGACGACGTAGCCCCAAAAAAGGACTGCTCGGAATCATATGTTGTCAATTCGCTGTTGGGGTTACTAGGATCACTGAGCCATAGAAATCGCGTCACATCTCGGTCGTTCTCGTCAAGAGTGATGTTGAGGAAAGCTTTCTCAATATCGGTTGCTATGGCGTATTTATTCATTCGAAAAACGAATAAGAATTCCAGTTAAATCATTCAGTTCAGGTGGTGTCGACATCAAGCAATCGTTCAGACTAGGCTGGTCACGTGACTTTACAACTGCAGTCATACACGATGCGGATAGGTGTCGTGTTCGAGTCCTTCTTTACATAATGATGTGGAATATAATGTACAGGGTTTGATGTGGTAACATTTGCATCACACTTTTCAATAAAACCGCGTTTTTAACTGATCTTCTATGATTTGTCCATAGTTTTTAAGTATATCCGGTTCTGTTGAAAGCCGTTTAAATTGTATTTTCTGTACGCTTTCTGCAAATTTCGTAATTTGTAGGAAGTACGGAAATGATCTTCTTTCCAGGGCAGTTTTGCAACATAACGTCCATCTTTGTACGTGATACAGTTTTCTTTATCGCTAAGTATACCGGAAGTAGATTTCTCAGTATCATCTTCTAATATCCCATAGATTCTAACTTCCAGAATCTCTCAAGATCTTTGGCATTAGGTGGCGCTGTTACAACATTAAACATATAGCTAAACAGACGACGCATTTTTAACTTCCGGAAGAGGTCCTGACAGTAAATATCCGAGCTTTGATTTCACTGCCGTAGGTCCGTTGCCCCTAACAACCTTATTCTTGCACGATTTGCCAAAAATAATCGGCTCCAATCAAGAGTGATATCTCGAAATCGTCGTCAGTGTCGGTAATAGGATGTGCAAGTTTTTAGACCTTCGATATATTTTCAAACATTTAACATTTCTCTGCAAGTTAGGTAATGGTACAGCAATGGTTGGTACAATAAGTACGTCAAGTGGTATTATCTCTCTATGTTCGACGTGTAGAAACACTCTGCCTGTGGTATATGACGACACTGTTCTGATTTGCCACCAAAAAGATGCTAATGTTATAGTGTCCGAACCGTTGGGCTTTAATTTCAGTTTCTCAGCAAGCTCTTCCGTAATAAATGACCTTTGAGCACCTTCGTCAAATAATATGTTTGTAGTTATCGTATAGTCTTGGGAGCTTACTTGAGCGATAGCAGTCTTGAGTAGAATGTTCGATCTTTGATGCGTAGTTGAATGAAGAATAGCAGTTCCTGCATTTCCTTTTTGACCGGAAGTAGAGCTTATAAATGATGTTGCATGTGGATTCAAATCGAAATTCGATGGTTGGTCACAAATACTAGTATGGTGCTTTCGCTGGCATTTCTTGCAACGAAACTTAGAACGACACTCTGAAACTTGGTGTTTTCCCAGGCAATTATAACACATACGTTTAGATTTAATGATAGTTAGTTTTTCTTCACGTGTTTTAACTTTTTCACAATCAAGCGACTTGTGGTCACCTTCACAGAACAAACATAATTTCTTACCCTTGTCATTATCTCTTGTGTGCGAAAATTTCATAGATGTGTATTTTTTCTTACCGGTTCCGGTAAATAATGATGCCGTCGGCAAGTGTGATTCTCTTATTTCGTCAGTTATGCCCATTTCTAGGATGTTTATTTCTCTGGCGATAGAAGTTCTCAAATCTTGTATGTGCCATCGTACATTTCCGTGTTCTCGAGCTAAATTTCGTCGTACTTCGGAGGGAAGTTTTTTCATGATTATGGGTATCAATAAATCACCATAGGAACCCTGACTCTCACCTTAAGACTCTAAACCCCGGATGTAGTTTTCCATTTTGTCGTGAAACCTGCGTAGACTCGTTACACTGTTGTCTGGTATCGGTAAATCTAAAAGCGACTGCATGTAACTATCTATTATTTTATGAGACTGTCCGAATCGTTCTTGTAACAAATCTATTGCATTCTGGTAATTTCTGTTAGTTAATGGAAAACCTGCTATGGCGGTATATGCAGTGTCTTGTAGTAAGGAACGTAAATAGTTGAACTTTTGGACATCAGATAGTGTTTGGTTCAAATGTACAGCAGCCTCATACGAGTCCCAGAATGACTGCCATTTTTCAACATCTCCATCAAACGTAGGCAAACTCAGTTTAGGTAGTCTGTGAAAAGATGAATTTTCAGACGACACTCTGTGGCTATGATTAGAAAAGTTCTCATTTGATAAAGTTCTAGCACTACCGTTAATGTCCTGTGAATTACGGATCACGCTGCCGCTGCCAGTGTTATTAGATTTGGTAATATCTTCCTTCAGTTTTCGTAGTTTCAATCGTAAATCAATTGAATATTCGTCACTCTCTACCAATTCTGTTTCCAAATCGTCAATATCTGCATGGTTAACAATCTTATCGTTGAGGTTCTTGATAATCTCGGCTTTTTCTTCCATGATTTCGAGCAGGGCTGACTTCTCCGAAAGTGACAACTCGTCGTTGAATTTCTCCAGTTGTCTAGAAATAAGACGTCGCTGGCCCTCTCTAGTAGAAATAAGCTTCTGTAAATTCATTGTGATTGTAGAATTTCTCACGGCACCAACAATGTGGGTATGTATAGTAACTAGACAAAATGCGTTGTAGTTTCCAGGTTCGACCTTTACTGATCAACAATCATATATAGAGTAAACAACAATACAATGTTAAGTCGGAAGTGACGTTAACGTAAGCGCGGAACGTCACGTTATACAAGGCGCTATAAATGACGTTATCAATTCCCGACAGGGGGGAACCCTGACGTTAGTGTATGCGAGATGTATGCAAAGAAAACATAATAGAACAGAAAATATCAATAACAAATTGTCCATCTTACCGGAGGGGAAAAAAGAACAGATTCATACATGTACATGGTGGCAGTTTAAAACAGTTTTTTTACGAAGCATGTTAGAATATAAATTATGTTCTTTGTACTGAAGTTGATTGTACAGTGGAAACATTTATACATAATATTTCATAAAAAATCTACTGGAGTTGTCTTTATTATTCAACATCTGTGTGAGAAAGACATTAATATTTACAAATATATTAATACAAACTTTCAACTTAAACATTTTTAAGATATGTCTTCCCTGTTTCAATGCTTAATGTGCTCATATTTTTGTTGTTTTTTATTTTCTCAAATGTAATATGTGCGCGTATCTCATAAAATGAGATGTAAATATACCCACTTTTCACGTGAGACAAATTTCAATATTGATAAACATATACGTTTTTTATTCATATAGTATAGTATAGCATTGAATTTATGTATCTTTTCTATTACTATAGTATAGTATAGTATTTATGTATGTAATAAGAAAATATTTTGTCATGGTAAGATTTCAAGTATTCAGTCTATAAGGACGCTTAATTTGTTATCAATGTAACATAAGAGGAGGAAATCGCCTTAATTAATTCACGTATAGCCCTATGACTGTCAAATACAGAAATATCAAATATACAATAAAATCATACTACTAACAAATAAATGGAGGGTTATTGGAGTAATAAAATGGATAATGAGATCTTGCTTAGATTTCCCCTAACAACCATTGTGTATCTAGAGAAAAACAGATTATATTACATGTTGTACCATTTGTAGCAAACAATTTAATTGTTTGTTTTTTGTATTAATTTATCATGTTTGTAACTTCTAAATTATTACAAAAATATATTTTGATGTTTCGAAGAGTAAATTTTGTCAGTTTATAGTCTAATCTTTTCCATCAAGTCATAAATATATCGGTTCTGATTTTGCATACAGTCACGTGATTCAATAAACCTAGGTAACTGTACGATTTTTTTTAAACAGTCGCTCGAGGATTATGCTTTGTTGCGGCAAAATGTGTAATATTACACTAATTTTTGTTTCAGTATAAGATAAGTATTTTTGCTAAAACAAAAGGATAATTAAAATGACATATTTTAAATCTGTACAAGTACATAAAAGTAAAAGTAATATTTCTCATTATAAAAGAAAATATTAATACTCTTTCCTCAGCATGTTCGTGTTTCTTGCGCCAACTAATATTATTGCTATTTAGTCCTCATCTCTCTTCATCCATTTCAGAGATGTTCGTAAATTGACAGGGACACATTTTATTGCCAAATCTAAAGAAATATTTTGTAATGCCTAAAAAATGGGATGTTAAGCCATAACAAGAAAGGAGAAATAATGACGTTCTCTAATCAAGTACAAGTGCGTTTCTATGTTGTTGTAATTTTCAACGACTAACTATATAAATGTCATCTTAGTTGTCTTTAAATATCTCTTATTTGTAACAAACGATTAAAATGGTGTGTAAACACTCTTTGAATAAACATGGATATACTTAGAAACTTGGCAGTATTCAATGCAAAGGATGGGAAATTGGTCAAATTACAATTCGTTACAAAGGGAATGGAACATGACACAAATTTAATAGTCATTCTGTACTTTGCTTACACATAATGCTTAATTGATACTTGCCTTAAGTAACGTATTCAAGAAAACATAGTATGACAAAAAAATCAAATCAATTCTGAATTCAATGATCATTGTAAGGCTTGAAACGTACAAAGCCGGTGCTAGGAGGCGTGAGGGATGTTGCACTTTTTTATTATCCCTCGTGTACAGACTAAATCCAACCGAGTCTGCAATTTCAATGTAATTTTGTTGTGATTAATGCTTCCGAGGGATCACACTTTTTCCAGATTTTTGTATTTCTCCACAGCAGGAGTCAAGTGCTGTGTGGCAACTGTTAAAAGTTCACCCGTACTTAACTTCAGTGTTGTTTTTTCTAGCCCTTCTGGGTCATTGATTTCAGCACTTTTAAGTGTTGAAAATTGAGTAGCGCTCAAACCGGTGTTATGGGGCGTGAAGGATGTTGCACTTTTTATTATCCCTTATGCACAGATTAAATCATACCGAGCTACCAATTTTCATGTAATTTGTTGTGATTAATGCTTCCGAGATGTCACACTTTTTCCAGTTGTTTTTTTAATATAAAATATTGAGTTGAAATAGTTCAATACTGCTCAATCCGGTGCTAGGTGTCGTGATATTGTATTAGGATACAGTATATCCCCACGCTGTATTGCCATATGGCAGGAAATATAGAGATCTGTTCTGTTCTTCAGCTCTGTTACATTCATGTTCATCATGACAAAATTTAAATTTAGGAAAGTAATAATACATCAATATTCTCCTTGTTTATGTGATAAAAAGTCATTAACTCTGTGCAATGTCTTGTAAACTGTTTAAATACAATTTCCCCTTTATGATACAAAATCAAAAATTAATGTTCATATATTTAAATAATACTATAAGGAAGAACCGTAGTTAAACATAACAAAATTTACGTTGGGCTAAAATATGATAAACAAGATCAACAAGGAAAGGCAGCATTCAATAAACGCAGCCCCCACACGACCCAGCAACAAGGACCAGTGGCAAGGAGCTCAGGCGGACCCAAAAACAAAAACTCATCTTTAGTATCTTCCTCTTTGACTTTGTGCGGGAAAATTTCTTTGCGAAGACAACAATTATAGAAACTCTGTTGGTCACTAATGATATAAATCAAACGATGGACGAGAAAGCCTTAATTTATTTGACAAATGAGCGAAGAATAACTTGCAATAGAGTAAAACTTGCCTTTTTGACCTTTATCAGATAACTCATTAAGAAAAACAGAAATAGATTGCTTGACTTGACAATATTTTATACCGTATTTTTAGCAGTAAATTATTGTTAGCATCAATACTTAACATTAATGTTAATTGAAAAATAGCACATGAGATATAAGGCCTACTTCCGTTACAGTGACCGACCGATCTGCCCGTCTAACTGACCCTAGTCGGAGGTTAAGGTCCATTCAGTAGTTTGGGCTGACTGATACACAGATCGACTTGATCGGCGCTGTATCGTTTAAAAAATGCCATTTTCGATACATTTTGACATGATCAGTATAAAATACCCTTAAAGTTTAAAACATGTTTAAGTTTGTTATATATCAAGCTTTGAAGGCGCTTTGGTTTGTAATGTTTAGTCATTTTATCAGTTCATATTGAATTTCATTTTAAATCTCAGCACAGAAACTCCCCTTAAATCAAACAATTTAAGGATTGAATCTGGTGTCAGTAAGTACAATGTAAGAAAGAAATGAGTATTTGATATAGATTTAGTAAATAAATACAGCAATAAATAAAGCAGAAACTATGAAACTAATTACACGAGCCTCTCGCAATAATTCTATCTTAATGGTACATTATATCTCAGCAGAGAATAAATTGTTTTTCTGTTGGAAGGGCAAACATACATTTTATTTTAGATGTAGGAAGGGCAAAAATATGTTTTATTTAAAATCCTACCACCAGAAGAAAGAAACATTGAATGTTAAAGTGTTAGTCCTAAAAATGGTAAAATACTATTTTGACTTTGAAGGTTCCATGATAACCGCCGTATGAACACATCTGCGGATGTTTCTTAATTCAAAATTTTACTATTTCACGTTTAAATGTTGAATTCTGCTTAAGCCGGTGCTAGGGGGCGTGGACGGTAACTTGCACTTTCCAGTTCCGTCCATGAACAGGCTCAATCAAACCGAGCCTGCAACATTTCCAATTTTGCCGTGTTGGGCTTTCTTTAGGGATTCTGTATTTATCTATTTCCATACAAATGACTAAATCACTATGATGAACCTCTTGCAGTAAACCACAGAAGCAAAAGATGGATCAGGTAAATGAAAAACAAGTAAAATGTTGGAAACTATGACAACATTTTTCTATAATATGTATTTATTTTTTATTTTTGCTTTTGTTAAGTCTTGATTCTAGCAACACAGAATAGGTCATATGGCTACTTTTCAGCTTTACTGTTGGAGGAAGATCTCAGGTGTGTATTATTTTAGTCACGAGCGTGTACCTGTGTAAAACCACAGACTTCCGTAAGGAAGGTGGATAGCTTCCTCATATGAGAGTCCAAAGTTCTTGGTGGGATTCTAACCCACAACGATGAGCTGCGGGCGGTTTTATTTCAACGACCCTATACACTCGACAACGGAAATTTAGATCATAAAAAGGCTTCGAAAAATGACCATAAAAGCATTTCTGCGACATAATGGACCTTGTAACTTGATATTTAATTTAAATTGCTCCTTAAAGAATCTCGAATTCTAGATTAATGATAATATAGTTTTAATTATCAGTTTTCAATCAGAAAAAATAACAAAAGAAAATTTTAGTCATATGAATAATTATTTTAGGCAATTGAGAGATCACATGAATCAAATTCATACATAACATTAACCACATATACAATTCATCAATTTCTTATACAAGTGAGCATAGACAAATTCATACAAACATTGTATGAGAATACACCTATATTATACATTTAAAAAAGATAAATACAGAATCCCTAAAGAAATCCCAACATGGCAAAATTGAAAATGTTGCAGGCTCGGTTTGATTGAGCCTGTTCATGGACGGAAATGGAAAGTGCAAGTTACCGTCCACGCCCCCTAGCACCGGCTTAAGCAGAATTCAACATTTAAAC